GTAGTTCATGAGATATTTTACTAACAAGCAGGTTGATTCAAATAGTGAGCAGGAAAGTTTTAAACAAAGATATTGTGCCTTCACAGTACAAGTTGATAAAAACTCTCAGGTTCAAATCTCAGCTTGATATCTGAAATATTTGTAATCTGAGCTGAAGTGTCGTCAAATTTGAAGATGGGGGGGGGGGGGCCCAGCCTGCATCATTACACTTCCAAATGGTTGAAATGTTTCTTTAACTGACTGGAAGGAGTTTCAGTTTCACATTTCAAACAGTCGTTCACTCAAACAATGAAATATAAAATGAAAAAATACTCACGGAGCTGCAGATGTAGTTCAGCCAGAACCGGTTCGATTTGTTTCCACGTGAAAATAAATTGTTTTTTTCTTTCCAAATAATAAAATGGTGATTTAAAAATCCAACAATAAACTCAGATTGTGGTGAACAGCGCCCCCTGCTGTTCAGTCTCCTGTCTGCAGCTGAACTGTGCAGCCTAATTCAAAATAAAGAAATATGAAATAAAATCCCATCTTCTCGCTGCAGAGTCGAACTGGAAACAGGATTTGTTCCACTCAGACCAGTTCTGTCATGCAGGGTTAAATACGAAGGGTTCCTTAATGACGGAACCAACGTCATCTTTGTTTAGAACCAGCACTGATTGATTTAGTATATCTTGTTCCATGTCTTCATTTTAATGCTGTTGTTTTAATTTTTTAAGGTATATTCTTACTGCTTTTTATTTCTCAGTGTTAAGCACTTTGATAACAGTCTATCTGTTTTAAATTGTGCTCTATGAATAAATATGACTTGACTTGAGTACTGTTCGTGCAGCGTGTCATAAATATGACGATAATTGATTTGATCAATTGTAAAACGTCTCCTGCAGATTTTTTGCACCAGGAGGAAATATTTTAGATTTAATGGACATGAGCTGACCTGGGTAACTGAAAGCTGGGGGTTTAATCCAAGACTCCAAGGCCCTTATACAAATGTTATGTTTTCTTAATGAGATTACCCCCCCCAGGGGGGACTGGAAGAATGAAAATGACTCAGCTGCTTATGGTGTGGGCTGATCCCGGGCCCTTTGCATGCAACCTGCTAAATCACCCGGGATAATGAGCGGCTCGCGTGCACGCTGATCGCTGACGCCCTGCCGATGGTCACCAAACACCACATGACCAGCGGGGGGGCTGTGAGGGCAGCAGGGGGGCAGGAAGCAAAAAACAAAAATCAAATCAAACAAATTATCTCTGAGAGGAAAAGATCTTTCAACAAACTGGTCTGATGTGATCAGTCGGGTCAGAAGGTCCATCAGTTACAGAACATCATTTAAACTTTGAGCTTGAATTATTTAAACTGTATTTTTTAGGGTTAAATGTTTAAATGTTTAAATGTTTAACAATGTTAAATGTTTATTACAACAACTTTATTGATTTGAAAAAAAAAACAAGTTTAAACTGAATGCACACAGGGTCAGAATTTGACATGCAGGCTCGAACATATTCATGTGTTCACCTGAAGGATTCAGAGTTTTCTTTCAGCTGGACCAGTTCTATTCACTTCCTGTTAGAGATCATGACTGGTCCATGAGTCTAACAGCCTCAGGGTAGAAGCTGTTCCTCAGTCTAGTGGTTCTACACTTAATGCTCCTCAACCTCCTTCCTGAGGGGAGCGGGGCAAAAAGTGTGTGTGCTGGGTGAGTGGGGTCCTTCATGATGCAGGTGGCCCTCTTCCTGCATCTGGAGGTGTAGATGTCTGTGATGGTGGGGAGACTGACTCCAACATCTTCTGTGCAGCCTTCACCACTCTCTGCAAAGCTTTTCTTTCTGCAGCTGTGCAGCCTCCATGCCACACGTTGATGCTGGAGCACAGGATGCTCTCCACTGCACACCTGTAGAAGGAGGTGAGGACTGAGCTTCCAGACCAGCTCGTCTCAGCCGTCTGAGGAAGTAGAGTCTCTGATGAGCTTTCTTCATCAGGCTGGTGGTGTTGTTGCTCCAGCTGAGGTTGTTGTTCAGGTGCACACCCAAGTTCTTGTAGCTGGAGACCACTTCCACTGCGGGGGGGGGGGGGGGGGGGTGTGTTTGCTCCTTTTGAAAGCCACCACCATCTCCTTTGTCTTCTTCACATTGATGTGAAGGTTGTTCTTCCTGCACCAGCTCTCCAGGTGTTCCACCTCCTGCCTGCAGCTGGACTCATCGTTATTTGTGATGCATCCCACCACCGCTGTATCATCTGCAAACTTTACAACATGACAGCCTGGATCAGTGGGTGCACAACTATACGTGAGCAGAGTGAACAGGAGAGGGCTCAACACACAACCCTGAGGGGAGTCAGTGCTGAGGGTTATGGTGGAGAAGGAGAAGTTGTGGATCCTCACAGTCTGTGGTCTGTTTGTTAAGAAGTCTAGGACCCAGTTGCAAATGGAGGGGCTTAGTCGTAGTGTGAGTAGTTTGTCCATCTGGGTCTGGGGAATTGGTGGTCTGTTAGTGTTGTTGTGGTGATTCTAGTATTCCGGGTTCCTCAACAGTTCCTTAACATTAAAGACCAGTTGCAAGTGTTGAGCATGGTGGTGGTGGCATCATGCTGTGGTGGTGGCGCAGCAGATCAGAAGTTGGTTGAAAAGCCTGCGGTCCAGATGATGAAAACATTTATTTTGACCATTTTACCTGGACGTTCTTCGGTCGGCACTCTGGTCAGAGATCTTTGATGTCGTTCCTGGAATCTGCTGAAGTCCTGCTCACTGCAGGTCACGACCTCAAGTGACCTCTGACACCAAGATGCTCCACAGCTTTCCTCTCAGTCCTTGAGCTGCTCTAATGTTTTATGTGTTTATGATTTACACATTATTGTTATCTTTTTTTTTCTTTTGAGCTGACCCCACTGGGGAGGGATGCTTTGTGCACCATAAGGTCATCGTCAGAAGGGCGTTGAGATGATGTGGGGCTTTCCCCCTTGATTGGAATATTTTCACCCTAAGGGGGTTTTCCGCCACATATAGCATCCCTAATTGCAAGGTTGATATTGATAATGGAATAAACATCCATAAACAGGAGGGTTATGTTAGAGAATGTTAACTGCCCATGAACCAGGTGTTTGAGTCAGAGACAGAGCTGGACCAGGAGCGGGTTTGATACTGCAGGAGCAGCTGGCGGTCCAAGGCCGCCTCCGAGTCTGTCTGTGAGCTGGGAGAGCCGATAACTTATAAAAACAAGCCTCGCACACTGTCCGTAGCAGATTCTCATGACTGGGCTCCACGCATGTACTTCCTGTGTAACCTGTTCTGAACATCTGTCCTCGCAAATTAAAAAAATCCTCTCCCGTTGTCGAGTGTGGCTCCTTTGAGTAAGTAAGAGAAACACAGGATACTTTTATCCAACATAAGAAACAACAATTTGACGGGATGAACTACAGGAAAACTCATCTCTGTCCCAACGTTTTATGTTTTATATGAAAATATTGTTTAGTTAGTAGACAGAGAAAAGTACTGGTGGTTCCCTGCCGTCACAGAGCACTCCGTCCAATCGTTGTCTCACCGTTAAGTTTTAGTTGTGTTGGAAGCTCCTCGTGCTAGTCTGCCTTTTGGGGTCTCATCAGAACCTGACACTCTATACACTGAGCACTGCAGCAGAACATATCCGTCTCATGATGCATGAAGTTAGAACTCAGAGGGTGACAAGCATTCACCACCAAACATCCTGAGAGAAGTCTCAGTAGTTTACCGTGGTGGCTAAAGCCACATTATTCTCAAATGTAACACGTCTGTATGACTTTAACTAAAGTTTTTTCCACTTTAACACAATTCTTTTAGCTTGCACCAAGTGGTTCTGGATCGTGAAGGGCTGTGAGCTGATGGCAGTGAAGAATAACAGGAGGGAGCTAAATCCTTACATGCTAACTGATCCAGTAAAGCTCTAAAAACAATCAGCTTTTCTAAAATACATAAACCCGATTAGAAGAGTTTAACAACTCGGAGCATGGAGCAGTCACAACACCATCGCCACATGACTGAAATCTCATTAGTGAGAGCAGAAGAATGAAGTTTTAGAAATCCACCGGTGATCTGACACTGAAAACCTTTTGTTCCTCACTGAACTGACTGACTTCACTTTATGAAACGAGACAAAAGGTCTGAATTGGTCTCATGCTGTTACGTGTGAATTCTGCCTTTGTGGTGAATCAGTCAAAGTTTCTTTATTTGTCATTCACACCACATGTGGTACATGTGGTGGAACGAAAATGTGCACTCAGGGTCCCAGTTACATCCAACAAAAGTATAAATTGTAAAAGAAAAGAAAAACAGTAATAAGATCTAAGATATGAACTAAGTAAAAAGCTAAATTAAGAATACGTAAGTTCTAATAGTACAAAACACTACGCAGAACAGCAGAAGCACGAAGCAGAATCATGTGCAGTTGGAATTAAATTGAAATTTAATTTGATTATAAACAATAATTAAAAAATGTCCTGATGCTCATTAATCCAGGTAGATGAATCTAACCAGGTGGAGTCAGGTCCTCTGGACAGATTCTTCTTGTTGAAACTGTTCTTCTTTTATCCAAAAGACTCCTTCAGTCTGAGGAGCTGGAACAAACTCATGTTGTATGTTGACGACACCTGGGTTAAAATCAAATC